TATAGTATTAAGCTGAAAAAGTGAAAAAAAAATTTTTTTCGGAAAACAGGCATAAGAGCCTTTTTCAATACCCCATTTGAAAGTACTTTGTCCAGTTAAATACTTACAAACACATAAATTAAATTGTATCAGCCTATGAGCCTTCAGCGATGAGCATTGAGGATATTTAAGCTGTTTGTCGTAAGGTTCTAAGTGATGGCTTGACACGACTAAGTTCTATGTCATTTCATTTTCTTCGATGGATCATTATCCATCAACGCAACCTCAAGCTAAGCATAAGATCAACTTTCACTACTTCCACATACAATTTAATAAAATATTTTATTAAAATTTATCAAAAATAATCATTAATGAATAAAATATTTTATTAAATTGTATGTGGAAGTAGTCAAAGTTGATCTTATGCTTAGCTTGAAGTTGCGTTGATGGATAATGATCCATCGAAGAAAATGAAATGACATAGAACTTCAAATGGGGTATTGAAAAAGGCTCTTATGCCTGTTTTCTGAAAAAAATTTTTTTTTCACTTTTTCAGCTTAATACTATAAATAGAAATATATAATTATTTAAGCCCCCTTTGAGCCCTTAAAGATCTATCAATCTTTTGAAAATGAAAAGAAAACAATGTTATGTGTGTAATTTAAAATAAATGACTATGGATTTATGGAGTTGTGTATGGGCGTTATTTTACGACAATGAAGCAAAATTCAACTTTTCTCTAAAGCAGTGAGAGTTGCAAATCATCTCAGAGTACACATCTGTTTACGACAATATCAAGACCAAGAATAGAATTAAACAAATTTCCCGATATTTCCTTTGATCAGGTTTCGAAAAAACGTGTTAGAAAATGTTTATTTTAACATTGGCTCCGGTATCTCCTTATTTTACTGTCCATGCGTAACAATCTATACGAGTCTGAATCTCTTTATATCATATATAGCATCGCTATGTGTTCGTTCATCGTATTGTAGTATCGTCAATGTATCATGTGTGCCCATATGTGCGAGACGCGTGCCAAATAGCTCGAATTACCGCTTCTCGAGACATTCGCCTGTGTCGACAGATGGATTCTTCTCAAAATAATGGAATAATAAATAAGATGCAAAGTTGAGAACTGCTAAATGAAAGTTCATGATTCTTAGATTTTTATTCAATCAATCAACTTTTTAGACGAGTGTGAATTTTCACACTTACCGGAAAGAGTAATTTGAGAGAAATCTGACACGTGACAAAATGCTTCACGATTATAATCCGAGATATTCAATTTAGTGTTTACTACGTATAGCATTTATAGATACTATTGCATTGTTGGCGATCTGACTACAGGACGCTTCATATTGTTAATCATTTGAGTGTACAGTTATGTAAATAACAATTTTAAGACTTCGATTGACTTGAAGACTTATCCATCTCTCTCATCAGTATTTAATTTCGATCGAGACGAACTTAACTTTCATCGATTTCCGAAAATATTTCTTTGTCAAATAACTTAACACGACACCGCATGGGCAGGCGTGTCGAGCCGTGGCTCCGTCGACGCAACGTCGTTGTGCAGGCTCGCTCGGGGTCCGACGCTCCCCCGGCTGATGTTGCGGCCTGCAGTGATCAAAGCTAAACACTGGCACATTGTGCGCGCTCGATTCGGGCTTATGCAGATATTTCCAAGGCCACATAAGAAAACGAGTCCTACTATGCTATATAGATCGTCGCCGCGCGCTCGGTGGCAGGCCAGCAGCCAGCAGAAACAACCCCCCTGCACCGCTTTTACACATACATATATACACGCACACACCCCGACGGACGCGCGCGCAGGGGAGATATACGTAAGGTAGAGAGAAGCCGAAAGAGAGAGAGAGAGAGAGAGAGAGAAAGCAATAGCAACAGCTGCCGCGACAATACCTGCTTTCCTAACAATAGAAATGGCCAGCCTCGAGTCGAGCCACGCGACTGCTACTTGTATGTATACACGCGCTCCCCCATTACTCTTTTACTCTGCCCAGCATGTATGTATATGTGCTTCTTTCAGCCGCTTATAATTCCTAAGCCGAGGGGTGGCAAAAGAGAGAGAGAACCGATGATCATAGTTTCAAAGAGAGAAAGAGAGAGAGAGAGAGCAAAGATTCATTTTTACTACCGTTGACGTGCGCGTACGCGAAACTTGCTTACAGAAACTTTACGATTGATGATTGAGCAGCGAGGCTCGTGCTTACTTATGCCGCACGACTTTCGTATACGCATAAGTGCGCAAAAATGCGTACGGCCATTGTGCACGCGCGCAGCCACCTATGTATGACGAATTTGACAAAGAGCGAAGCAATTTCGCTAATCGACCGATGCGAAAGCCCGAAACTGCCTTCGCGCGCCTGATGCCCGAACTAAAAAAGTTTCGGACGTCCTAATCATTAATTCATTTTAAGAATTTTCAATTTTTTCTATGGCGTTTCACTTAATTCGCATTAAGCTTGCACCTATGTGCGCTGCGCATTCGTACGAGAGCGAGCGCCCGCGTTTATAGTTCGCTTCATTTAGCTTGCGTATCGCGATTAATTATTTCGCAGCTAATTATGCTGCTCCGCTCTCCATCGAGTTGCCAGTAACTCGCTCGCGCTTCATCGTTACTGCCGCAACGAATCAATATCGCGGTGTACGTAATATAATTTGCCCTGATCATTTTATAAATGCCACTGAGGAACACAAGTTCACGGTCCGTCGTCGTTGCGAGCTGCAGTACGCGGGCCTGTATGATACGGACAAAATCTCACAAGATATTGCCCTCGAATGGCTTCGCATGTACTTGTGTGTACCTTTGAAAACATTTTTTCTATGCTATAATGTCTCTTGTGCTATATTTCAACTAAATTTGACCTTTCATGTGTATTATACTGTGGATTGACTTGAAAAGTGTAAGCTTGTATTATATACGGCCATTTACACCTGTACTAATCTTTAAGAAATTATAAAAAAGTTAAAAAGTGATTTTTCGCAAAAGAAGCTTACTAATGTAATGGATATCAATCTTTCGACGCAGAAATATCTATGCACGAGATTTCAATGACGGCATAAACGCGATCATACAGTCTCTCAAACTCATCAAAAAACATGAATTTTATTTAAATAAGTTCACTCTATTTCTGAAAAATTCTTCAAAATCGTTGTAATTTGTTAGAGCTGCAAAATGTAAATACCAGACAAAATGTTTGCACCAAAATTTATTCTCCTGTTTTTCTCGAGATTGAAGAAAAGGACGCAAAATTCAATTTCCATGACTACCACGAATACACTTAAATTATTATTTTATTTGTCAACGGTTACCCCCAAGAATAAACATTTTTTCAATGTATTTCAAAATTAACGATAATTTGTTACATGATATTCTTTTTTAACAACATTGGTATTTCTATATTTGATGAAAATTTGTTGAAGCGATTGTTTTCGCTGGCATTTTGGGAGGGATTGTTTTAGCGTTGACGGCGGTTATATATTGTTTATATTTTCCAAATCCAAAAATTTAACTTTTTCAAAACAACAAAATTAATTAAAAATAATTTGAAGACTGCACAAATAATACTTTTCAATAGCATGCCACTTTTTAATTAATAATTTCACTCATACAGTATACCAAGTCTTGGAAATAATAATAATAAATTTTAACAACTTATCGAACTTTTTTATCGGCCAGTGATATTGTTGAACTTTCTGCGTTTACGAGAATTGGTTAAAAAAGTCTGCGAACGAAATTTAGGAATAATTCTTGTTTTAAGACGAATTTTGAAATAGCATACAGATAGGAAGTAGGTACTTGGGAACATTTTTTTATATTTTAGTTAATGTAATTAAGAGAGCATACAATTTTTCACAATAGCGACAAAATTAATAAAGTTAATTATTATTTACACAATTGAATAATACTTATATGGAAGATTTTCTAAAATTTTATAGCATACTCGTGCAATTGTAAGAGTCTTGATTGCGTCCAATTATCTCCAGAAAAATCTCATGCTCCTAAGGATTGCTTCGATTGTGTACTTCATTTATGTGACGTTTGAGGACACTTTTGTATCCAAATGATTGGCGACAAATGTCACACTTGAAGGGTTTGCTTCGATTGTGAACTGCATTTATATGAGTTGTGAGGTGCCCCTCACGTGGAAATGATTTATTACAAATGTCACATTGAAAGGGTTGGTTATGATGATGTACTGCATTTGCATGAGATTTCAGAGTACTTTTCAGTCCAAATGATTTATAACAAATTTCGCATTCAAAGAGTTTTTTTCGATCATGCACTATCATTTTGTGAGTTTTTAAGTGACTTTTTTGTCGAAATGATTTGTGACAAGTTTCACACTCGAAAGGTTTGCTACGATCATGTACTGAAATTATGTGAGTTTTGAGGACACTTTTGTATCCAAATGATTGGCGACAAATGTCACACTTGAAGGGTTTGCTTCGATTGTGAACTGCATTTATATGAGTTGTGAGGTGCCCTTCACGTGGAAATGATTTATTACAAATGTCACATTGAAAGGGTTGGTTATGATGATGTACTGCATTTGCATGAGATTTCAGAGTACTTTTCAGTCCAAATGATTTATAACAAATTTCACATTCAAAGGATTTGCTCCGATTATGTACTCCATTTATGTGAGTATTGAGGTGACTTTTTTGTCCAAATGATTTATGACAAATCTCACATTCGAAAGGTTTAATCTGATCATGTACTGCATTTTTGTGAATTTTGAGGTCACCCTTGCGGCTAAATGATTGGTGACAAATCTCACATTCGAAAGGTTTAATCTGATCATGTACTGCATTTTTGTGAATTTTGAGGTCACCCTTGCGGCCAAATGATCTGAGGCAAATGTCACATTCAAAGGGTTTGCTCTGATTATGTACTGTAATCATATGAGATTTGAGGTTAGATTTTTGTCCAAATGATTTTTGACAAATCTCACACTCGAAGGGTTTAATCCGATCGTGTACTGTATTTATATGATATTTTAGGTGATGTTTGTATCCAAATGATTTGTGGCAAAAGTCACATTCGAAGAATTTGCTCTGATTATGTACTGAATTTATGTGAGTATTGAGGTGACTCTTTTGTCCAAATGATTTATGACAAATCTCACATTCGAAAGGTTTAATCTGATCATGTACTGAATTTATGTGTTTATTGAGATTGCTCTTGATTCCAAATGATTTGTGACAAATTTCACATTCGAAGGGTTTGCTACGATCATGTACTGCATTTTTGTGAATTTTGAGGTCACCCTTGCGGCCAAATGATCTGAGGCAAATGTCACATTCAAAGGGTTTGCTCTGATTATGTACTATATTGATGTGAACTTTCAGGCCACTCTTGCGGAAAAATGATTTGTTACACATCTGACACTCGAAAGGTTGTCTCGGAAGGTCATGCACTAAATTGATGTGAGTATTAAGTTGATCTTTTTTCACAAATGGTTGATAATTTTGATACTCATATTTGCAGCTGGTTGTTGGTACAGACTTCTGTTCCGTCTTAACATATTGAAACTCCGAATCTATGAATATATTATCATTTATGTTATTGATAGGATTTTCTTTTTCTATTTTCACAATAGGTTGGTTTTGATGCTCCGTTTTGCAGACTATTGTCGATAAAGATGTCAATTCAATTTTGACATTTTTGCACTCAAAATCTATGAAAATTTTTTCATCTAATTTTTCTTTTAACGGCGTAAGGTCTCTCGTGTTATTTTTCTAAAATTAAAATTGTGTAATAATTTTTTTATAGGGAAAAATTAAAAGATAAATCAAATCATTGAACTCACTGGTGATTGATTAATATTGATTGTTTCAACATTTTTGACTCCGCAAGAATTCACCGAATCGAAAATAAGGTTGTCGTCTGCACTCGGCCAATCATCATACGGTTCTTGCTTCATGCTAAAAAATTATTTATTGAGACGATTGCTTTGAAATATGTCATGACACGCACAAAAAAGTTATAAACTACCTAATCGAGTCCTGTATGTTTTCCATCACTCGTTTGATTATATGTAATCACTGTAAATATTCGAGGTTATATGTCTCGAGGAGCCAACACTGTACTTCGAATTTACTAATTTGAAAACACTTGCTTGCCGAGGAATTTCTCGCTAACTACTGTCTGCAATACTCGTTTACAAGAGAGGTGACTCTACGATTGCGATAACTCATTGGCGACATTTTCCCTCTCCACCAACTTATTCTAACCATACGCAGTAATGTACTGCGGTATATTATATATTATATTACATTAACTATAGGTACTCGCATCGAGACCTGGCAGCAATACAATTTTGTAATTCTTCCAAATTTTCTTCCAGTTTTTTTTAGTTTCTTTTTCGCAGAATTGCAGTGACTTTTATAACATTTTCAATAATTAGGAAAGGTCAGTTAAGTTTTCATGAAAAAAAGAAGACGGAAAATGAAAAATTTTTTTCTTTTTTTCGAAATGTTTCTCATATTTTACTTAATCGTGTGATTAAGTAATTATAGATCATATCATTTTATATCATGACAGTTATACAAATACCCTTAAATCGGAGTCACAATTTTAATGAATTTCGATATTGGGGTGTTTATTCACTTTTGACATTACGATTATTACTTACAATTAACAGAGGGTGGTTTTTCCGTTTTATTTTTTTTCCGAAAAATTCATCTTTTCGAACGTTGTACCAACATTTTATCGAAAACTACTTAGCACTTTCGTAACTATGTGATAACGTAAAAACATAATAATAAAATAGCATTTCTAGCTGTGCAGAAATAAAAAAGGGCTTACATAATATAACACACAAAATTTAACATTAATTTCATATTTTACCAAAATAATATGACTTTTTCAAATGTAAAAAACGTTGATGAAAAAAATAAAAAAACATGAAAAATTAATACATCAAGCAGTCTTGATCTTGTGAGCTATACGTATTGCTATTATAAACTCGAGCTATTATCTTGATGCAGTCGAATAAACGCCTTAAATAGCGCACACGCGCCCATACACCGACCGATGAAAGATTGTCTCACCCTCTTACGACAACAAGCAAGTGAACAAGTAAGATGTCGCATAAGGAACCGGCTGTACAGCTATTTACTCCCTTTTCTTATGCGTACGGAGCGCGTTTCTCCGGAGGGGAGATCGGCACCGAGTATATATAAGTGTAAGCTTGAGTCGTACCGCAAGCGGTACCGACTTAGGACGCCAGATGTACGAGGCAGATTGTATTATAAGGTGCAAGGTGGTTTCGCTTTGCTTACAAGATCGGTGTACTGTAAAAGTATGCGGTCATACCTTCGAAGGCAAGTGCCAAGGCTCGACCGAATGAAAGAGAAAGAGAGACGGAGCCGGAGCAAGGTTACGAAAGCACATCTCAAGGTTGAATTCTTGACCTTCTTAAGTGCGACCGATATTAGGGTGCCAGTGTCAAGACATCTAATTTTTTTTTTTTGTTCCTTTTTTAATGGCCCTTTCGAGCAGTCGAATTATTAAGTACGTCAACGCGATAGTTTATTTTTCCGGCTCCGCGCGACAAAAGTCGAACTTCCGTACACATACGCGTGCGCCGCTGCATTCGGTGTCCCGAAACGATTTAATCAACGCTATGCACTAGTGCACGCGTCGTCAATCGTAACTATCAAAATCTCGTTTGACCGATCGTAGGCCAAAAGACTCATGGCTCGGTATATATAATTCATTTAAGCGGACACGCGAGCGACGACGGAAAATGCAAATGTTTCGAGGGGGGGCCTCTTCTCGTTGAATCGGCAAAAAAATTGTAGTAGTATACGCACGCGCGTACCTATGCTCATGCAGCGTATATTATAGGGCAAGCATTCGGCCAGCTGCCAATACTTGTGCATATAAGAACATGTGGCGGACAGAAAGTGCAGCGGGCTTAGGATAATGGAAATCACGATTTGAATCAATGTTCACTGCACGGAAAATAAGGCCTTATGGTCGATAAGCACGATAAATTCAAGAGAGAAAAAAGTGCGATGGAAAAAATCTTGGGCTGGAGTCGACGCGATAAATTATAGCGCGCTGCGCGTAACTCGAGTCGCAAAATGTTTGACAAATCAATGAAAAAGTATGCGCAATTATAATGGAAAAATTGTGACCATACTTTCACGAATATACGTTATAATGAATCGAGTAAATATCGAATGACGATCGCAGAAAAATCAACACTCATCGTATGACATTACGGACTGTAATTGAACAATCGTTTGATTTTTGAAATTTCGAAATCAGGAAAAAGTTCGTCTTTCAATCTTTCGATGATTTATTCATCCTTTTTAAATAAAATGATAAGCGCGCACATTGTTAATGATATAAACAAAGTAAGCATATCAACGTACGAAAAAATTGATATCGTTAAAATCATTCAGGCACTCGGCTAATATATCGAATTGCACGCGGATATATAATTTGGACAGATGCATTAAGCCAGCGGGCTCGTGTCAGCAAATCAGTCGCTGCTGGCTATGGTTAAAGCCACCCATCCACTCGACGACAAAAAAAAAGAAGGAGAAAAAAAAATAACAGCAGCAGCAGCAGCACGCGCACATTAACAGACTGGAACTGCAAAGAAAGCGAACAGATTTCTCCACATTGGATGGCGTTTATTATATACACATATACATTTTGGCTCCCCCTTGGCCAGCTCATACCTACTATATAGCGTATAGTGTACGAATGTGCGTGTGCGTTTGCTGTGCATATATATGTCGCACATGACGTGTCTAGCTACCTTATAATGCTCCGAGAAAAAGATAGAGAGGGAGAGAGAGAGAGCAAAGGGGCTCGCTCGCGTCGGCCTCGCGATTCTGCACTGCACACGTATTATAATCGCTTCTTTGCGCCTCGGCTTCGATCGAATTGTTCAGGGGGGCAGCTGTTCCTGCCGAGCTACTGGGTGTGCTTCTATGCTACGTATGTATATATACAAGCGCAAAAGGACCTTCTCTATAGACATCGAGCCGACGACGACGACGACGGGGCACACGTGCCACCTGGCCAGCAGGCAGGCATCAACATATATATAATATACAGTACATAAAAATTTTCTCCTCTGGCGTATAGTCGCGCGCGAGCCAACTCTACAGCTTCGCCCGTGTATGCGTAATTTCTTCCCCTTTGCCAAACACGCTCTCGTCACGGTGTGTATGTGCTTTACTTATATATATTGCTGTACTATATACAGACGATGCCCGAGCGCGTCTTTCTATCCCTCTAATGAATGACGCGCGCGCACGACCATACCTGTTCTTCGAGTTCTGAACTACACGTACATATAGGTAGATAGGTAGGGCTCCCTTATTTTCGACGACTTTAGCTCGCTGCGTATTACTTTGCCGAATGATTTTACAGATGCACAGATGCGGACCGCTCTGCGACGTTGCTGCTGTTGCCGTTTCGGATGTGCTGTTCTTATAAAAGCTGCTCCTCGTTACGACAATTACGCGCTGCGCGTCGATGAATCCCCCAACGCCTGCAGAGTTCCGAAAAGAGACCTGGGCGCAGCAGCAGTAGTAGTAAGCCTTAGCAATGTCAAAGACACCGTGCCGAGAATCAGCTGCTGGCCGTGGCACAGCCGCAAATATTATGAGGTATATGTATGTGGTCGCGTGTCTCGGCTCGTTCGTGTATGTTATCTATCCATAAAAGCCATTAGCCCTGGCTCTGCACAGGGTACATTATTGTATGTATGGACGCAGAGGTATTTTTTCTTCTCTCTCTCTCTCTCTTTCCATGTCTCGTATGTATTATGTCAAGGGGGAGCAGGAAACCAATGATTCAAAATCGAATATATACGAGGTCTCTCCTTTGCGGGGGTGATGTTTATTAGTAGAAGTGCGCGCCGATGGCCGATGGCTTCGCTCGAACAAAGACACGCATAAAATTGTATCCGCGTTACAGGAAAATACGACGCTATTTCCGCAAAATCAAATCGAAGTAGCAAAAAAAAGGAAGAAATCACGAGTACGGTCGATGATTTAGCGACACCTGCAGCATTTATCGCGATTTGCTTCGTGCCCCCAAATAATTACGCGCAACCAGCCGCACACGCGCGTATTCCGCATACGAACATGATGAATTTCGTTTCCTCGCCTCGAACCCCTTCGTGCACTCGTATAATATAAATTTTATATACTATATTCTCTTAATAGCTCGCCAACTTGCGTCATTAAATTTCCATAAAGCGCATTCCGCAGAAACCCTATCGAAGTGTGCGTAATGCCAATGTTGTCGGTCGAGAAGGAAAGGGGACGTGCGTAGGTGAATAGATAATTAGCATGATCTCCTCGCAGGACAGCTGCTCTCGCGTATTTTCGCGCATTACACGAAATTCAAGCAAAGACAATGTTTAAGCTGTGACACTTATCATATTTTAGGTCTGCGTTGGGTTCGTCGCTGCATCGTGGCCAGTAATAAGCCCTTATTGTTATTGTTGAATATTTTTTCAAGACCAGCTATCCACGTGTAAAAATATTATGTCTCTTTAAAAAAAAACGTCAACCACATAAAAAAACTTGACAAACCACGAGCTAATAGGTCCCTGAGATTTCGTCGTCAATGTTTATTCAAGAGTTTAGTATGATTGCAGGGTGCATCAGAAAACAAAAAGTTGCTTCGTATAGAAACTTGGAAGCGTAGAGCATCAATACCTCCTTTTGTTGCTTTAATCGCTTGCTTTTATATCTCTGCGGTAAAGATTCGTCGCTTCGCATAGATCGCATTTATTACTGTATTTATTTTTGAGTTTTGACTTATTTTTCATTCATAGACTCGATGCACAGTAATTTGTTGATCGATTAAATTACTCCTACACTGGCGTCATAACTACGCGCTATTTAGCGACGCACGCGCCAGCCACGTGGGCCCGCAAGCTTTTGATACGATTCCGCAGCACGTATATATATATCCGCATACGATTGGTAATCTATGCTAATGTCATCGCGCGCGACTCGCCGAGGGTGTCTCGACTCAGCGAGTCGCGCGATTTATATTATACATTATATCGCGCGCGTGTCCGTCGAACACACATAGCTAGATATATTATGGTATATAGTGGACGCACCAAGTGCGACG